GTGTGTGTGTGTGTGTGTGTGTGTGTGTGTGTGTGTGTGTGTGTGTGTTGGAGAACTGAGGTTGATGTCTGAGAGCATATTCCTGATGACTCTGCTTCTACTTCTAGATCCATGCTGCCACCAGACACTCAGTTTCTCATTGAGTAATCTTTATTTTAATTCACTTTACATCCTGCTCACTGCCCCTAAGTCATCTTTTATACTTTACATTCTAAAGAGGATTTAACTAAATTTGTGAGCCCATCTCTGTAACTTAAGCCCTCTCCGCCCCTTAAAAGGCACAGAGGCTTTTGACTTAAATTGTGTCTAATAAAGAACAGGGTTTCCTTTTGTCCTATCATTCATTTTCTTTGTTAGCACCAGGGCCACACAGGGGTAAAGCCATCTACCAGTGAATGCAGATGAACTCAAAGTTCTAGTAATGTGAAAGTGCTGAGACTCTATCTCTTGTCATTTCCAAACATGAAGGGTGACAGCAGGATCAGCTTCTAAAAACAGACTGCCTTTCTCCCAAGCCCTCTTTCCTGCTCATTTTGTTCTGTGCATTCATCTGACTGTCACTTACATAGGCTCCCATGGTTATCCATTGACTTCATATGTTATGTGACCCAAATTAAGGAAAAGGCAAACTGCTTTTTCTTCACCATAGTCTTCACCATAGTCTAGTGGTTTTCTCCAGTGTGAGTGAGGCTGCTTTCTTTACAGGTGTGTGCTCTAACCTATCATGAGTTGAGGGCCATTCGGTCCAGTCTGATGTCTTTTCTGGTGCTAAAGATTTTTTGTAGGCAATAGGAGTCTATTGTTGGAAATGCTAAAATATCTAGTGGAACTGTTGGAGAATTGGGAGGATCCCAAAATTTTTCCTGGCAGCAACAAGTGTTGTCTTTGGCTCTAGGTTTGCTTCTTTGCTTGGGATTGGGCTTAAGTAAGTGTTAGTGCCTGAAATGATTCCCATGCCATACAGACACAAACTAGTTAGCTCATGAGTATCACTTCTCCCAAGAATTCTTAGTTGTATTTCATGGTTTATTTGATAGACAAGTCTGACATCCTTCATTTGAACACATTTTCTTTCAGTCCCAGCTGCTCAGCGGCAAAAGCACACGAGTGTCCTCCTGAGCTCAGCGCACTGTGCTTTATCAGTGTGGTTTTAAGGCTCTCCCAGTCTTGCCAAGTTGAATTGAATTAGAAAGTAACTAAAGTGCATTGAATTTCTTTAGCTTTCTTTTTTTATTTTATGTGTATGAGTGTTTTGCCTGTTCGCATGTCTGTACACCACTTGTGTGCCTAGGGCTTGTATAGGCCAGAAGAGAGTATCTGATGCTCTGGAACTGGGGTTAACAAATGTTTGTGGGCTGCTATGTGGGTGCTGGGAATCAAACCTGGGTTCTTTGGAAGAGAAGTCCATATTCTTAACTGCAGAGCTATCTTTCCAGCCCCTCTTATTCCCCCACCCCTCATGTAGACCAGGTACCTTGAACTTTCTAAGTGGCCAAGGATGACCTTGAACCTACTGATGCTCTTGTCTCTGCCTCTCAAGTGCTGAGATTACAGGCATGCATCACTATGCCAAGTTTATGCAGTGCTGGAGTCAAATTCAGGGCTTCCTGCATGCTGGGCAAGTACTCTACCAACTGAGCTACAAACCTAGGCCCAGAGGAACTTAGCTTTCTGAAAATACATTCTATTTAGAGTAGTGGTTCTCAACCTTCCTAATGCTCTTCCTAATGCTGCAACCCTTTAATACAGTTCCTCGTGTTGTGGTGATTCCCAATCATAAAATTATTTTCATTGCTACTTCATAACTGTCATTTTGTTACTGTTATGAATCGTAATGTCCTATATGAATCACCTGTATTAGTTCACTTTTATGAAAAGGTTTGTTGGGCAGCTCTCAGGGGTCAAAACCCACAGTCTGAGAACTTCTTGCCTTAAATATAATTTTTTTGTCTTAAAAAGGTGATTGACTCTGTCATCCTGGCTGTACTAAAGCTTACTGCATAGCCTAGGTTGGCCTTGAAGTTACTTAGAGCTATCCTCTTGCCTCAGCTTCTCGTGTGCTGGTAGTACAGGTGTAAGCCACTGTGCTCGTATAGTCAGATGATTCTGGATTTCTGGCTACCTGGTATTTTACTGAATGATATGTGCATACACGAGGGGGTGTAAGCCCAGCTCAGGAGCTGGAGGCAGAAGGGACTGTAGTCTAAAAGAAAAAAAGATTCTAAGTCAAATTAGAAAATAGAGTTTCTTGTGGGTTTTGTTTCACTTTTTCCCTAGGAAAGGGGGGAGAGGGCCTCTGTTTAACCCCTCATCCCCACCTCCCATATAGCCATAGATGGAGAGTAGAGAAATGGCAAATATATATGTTAAGCCTTTCTAACTGGTCAGCTCTGGGCAATCCAAAAGCCACTTTTTCTGAAGCAAGTGTAAGTAGAGGGACTTGCAGGGCTTCCTCGACACAGAGTCTTTGTACTGTGTGCGGACATAATTGAGACAGACTGCAGCATGGAATTGGGTATAAAAACTGCATTGCTATAAACTGCTAGGGAAAATGTGAGCAGGGCCTGGAGAGAAGGCTTACTGGTTAAGAAGAGCACATGACTGTCCTGCAGTGGACCTGAGTCAATTTCCAGAAGCATGTTGAGTGGGTCACAGCCAAGTCCATCTCCAAGGCAGTCTGATGCCTCTGGCCCCCGTAGGTGCCCACACTCGCGTGCACCTATCTACACACAGATGAGTGTTCATAATTAAAGATAATAAAAGTAGATAAAAATAGACGGTAAAGCTGGGCAGTGGTAACACTCACCTTTAATCTCAGCACTCGGGAGTCAGAGGCAAGTGGATCTCTGTGAATTCTAGGCCAGCCTGTACAGTCTACTCACAGAGTTCTAGGATGGCCAAGGGTACATAGAAAAACCCTGTCTCAAAAAAAAAAAAAAAAAACCAAACAAAACAACAACAAAAAAATAGGGTTTAGACTGGTGGTTGAGAGCACCTGTTGGCTCTAAGCTGAGCAGATATAACTCTAGGTCTGGTTCTAGTTCACAGAGAGACGAAGCATATATGTGCCGCCCATATACATATACTCAGATGTATATAAATAAACCTTTGGGTTTTTTTCTTATTAGAAACACTATAGCACCAGCTGATAGTCCTAGAACATGAAAATGTTTATTCCAGAGGAATGTTCATAATTATTTTTTTCCATGGGAAGGGCATTCTAGTTGTGTGCACATGGCTTGTATGCTAGGGCTGATAGCTCATGACCTCTTGGTCTTGTCTGGGTAGGGGAATTTGGTATCCTCTCCTCTGGCATTGCTAGAAAGGTGTATTTCTAAATTTATCATCGTCTTGCCACTTTGGGAAAAGGGTATTAGTGGTCTTAGCATCTACTCATGTGTTCCCTGACATGAATGGCACCCATGCCATGTCTACTGCCAGTGTCGTACATAACCCCTTAGTTTTGTGTTTATTTGGAGCTTTTTTGAGACAGAGTCTCTTGTTCCTTGTGTTGAGGCTGTTGTTTGTAGTCTAGGCAGCTCTACTTTGGAAGGAAAGGTGGAAGTCCCAAGGATCTTCAGAGTGGAACACTTAACTTTGTTCTGGAATGTCAGAACCTAGAAAGATTCAATGACTTTGAGTGTAGATACTGCACATCCTGCAGAGTGAGCACCTGTGAAACAAGTTGAATGTATAGCTACATGAAAGATTAAAGGTGGAGCTTCGACTTACGGTGGAGGATTGAAATTAGGCTTAGAAGGAGGCCAGAGTCGTGGTCCATTTTGAAACTATTATTAGTCAAGGAGCTTCCAGACCCTGTCCTTTGGTCAGGTTAGCCCTACTAGGGGAAAGACATGTGAGTTCTGGAACAGTAGGGCGTCACCAAACTGACACCTCATGTCAGCACTATTGTGTTTCTCTTTCTAGACATCAAAAAAGCCCAAGACAGCAGAAGCAGACACCTCCAGTGAACTGGCAAAGAAAAGCAAAGAAGTATTCAGAAAAGAGGTAAGGTTTGGAAGATGTGGAAAGCACAGTCCTCTGGCTTGGTGTGAGCTCTTTGTGTCTCGCCTAAGTATATGCATCTGTCTTGTCTGAAGATGGTTTAGCTTGTGTCTCGTGGCCCAAAGTGCTGTTTTACCTGTCAAGAATTGCATAATTATCTCCTACTGGCCTGAGGGAGTCCATCTGCCAACATATTTGCTGTTTCACTGTGGGCCTTCTGTAGCATCTCAGACAACAAGAAGAAAGCTCTATACAGTATTAGGCTTGTTGCAGTATTGGGTGCTTCCTTACTTACTTGCATGATTTGACTAGTTGTTTCTGATGATACATTTTTATGTCTTTTTACAACAGTAAGCACTCTGGTATTTGTTACAACAGCCCTTGAGATAACCAAGACTGAAATTGTTGTTGTTAGAGAGACTTTTAAGATCACAACTCTTAAGTTGAATTTCAAGTCCTCTGACCAACTATAGTTCTCTTCCTGTGCTGTCTCCTGCTTGCTCCATCCTCTCAGTGTGTCTGTCTCCACCCATAAGGACACTAAAAGTTGGGAGCTGGGAGTGCCATGACACGTGGGTGGTGGTCATGAGAATCAGACTCAGACCATTAAGCTCAGTGATGCCTTTGCTCACTAAGCCATCTCACCAGCCCCCAGATTCTAAACTCTGGACTTCTTTCATTGAAAGGGTTCATAGTGTGTTCAAGTTAACAGACCTGTGAAGAAGAACTGCAGCTGTGTGAAAAGTGGGCCATGCCAGGGTTGGAAACCAGTGCTTAGAATATCGTGAAAGGCTCTTAAATCTAGGTTAGGAACTGGTCAGACAGACCAGGAAGGAAGGTAAATGTAGCATGAGAATAAACAGAAAGAAGCAAGAAAGTGTCACCTCTTTCCGGAAGTCCTAAGTCTTGAGCACTGGTCACCTGAGGGGTGTGGAGCCTAAGGCTGGACAGTTTTGTGCCCTTTTGTGTAGTGCTTTGTGTTGAGGTTTAGGGAACCACTGACTTGAAGCTGAGAACAATCAGAGCCTTGACTAAGAAGGGGTAGGTTGAAAGGGGGAAAATGTGGAGGCCAGGCAATCACAGAACATCCTTTGAGTAAGAAGCTCATCCAGCCAGCTGTGGTAGTTGAACAAACAAAGGCAGTTCAGAAGGCTTATGTAGATATAACAGGGTCAGATTTTTAGGGATGGAGAGGCCCTGCCCTGTTTGGGGCACTTCCTTGAAGTAGCTGTCAGTAGCTTCTGTCTTCCTTTTTCCTCTGTGACCTTATACCATAATTGCTTGGTCTTGACCCTGACACCTAAAAGTTGCCTCTGTAGGACAAACCTTACAGAAGTAGCCCAGAAAAGGGCATTGGAGATGGCAGGTCCTGCCCTGGGTCATCCTTCTGGCTGTTACCCATGTGTCCATATGGTTTTGGTGGTTATGGTCTGTGTAATACTTAAAACGCTTGAAGTAACCTTTAAGGACAAAACCCCTACCTGGAGATTCTAGGGTTGCAAAGCCTTCTGGTAATTCAAAAATAGCTGTTCTGCCCCACCTTGCCTCCAGGTTCTAGAGAACCTAGCCACTAACTTCATAGGAGTACACAATGTTAGACAAACACACTACCAACTGAGCTATAGCCCTGGCCATGAGAACCTGTTGATGATGGAGAAGCCCTTGTAGCCTAATTACCTATAATAGATTTCAGCCTTTAACACAATGACCTTGGCAACATTTGAATTTTACCTATGTGAAATTGGAGGCTACTGCCAGAACTTTGTTGTTGGAGCCTGCAGCTGCCTCTCTCCGTGAGGTTTGGTTGGTCTGGCTAAAAAGGCTCTTTTCCTTTCAGGGCTGGGCCAGGATCACTGTCTTGCATCTCACTGGCTTCCTAGTATTGTCCTAGACCAGCAGCTGAGGGAGGAAACAGGGATGGCTGGCTGTGCTTTTTGCTGATCTCATCTGCACAGTTGAACAGCTTGTCTCCTCCCTTCTCTTCTGTCTGCAGATGTCTCAGTTCATTGTCCAGTGCCTGAATCCTTACCGGAAGCCTGACTGCAAGGTGGGCAGGATCACCACAACAGAAGATTTCAAGCACCTCGCACGAAAGGTACCCTCCCATGCTTCTGGTCTGTTGGTGTTCCTAGCAAACTATGTACCTTCAAAGATACTCTCCATCAGGAAGGATGGTTTATGTGCCAGATGCCAGGGCTTGGGGCCCAGGAATGTAAGGCAAGGTTCAGAAGTAGGAAAGGAGGTATCTAAGAGACTTGAAAGCTGGGTTTCTCCTGCGTCCTGTATCAGCTTACCCAAACCCACACTTTGATTTAATTCCAAGTCTGTCTTCCCTGTCAAATGTCCCTTCTTCTGATGGTATCTGCGGTCTCTCCTTCTGTGCCCTGAACAGCTGACTCATGGAGTCATGAATAAGGAGCTGAAGTACTGTAAAAACCCTGAGGATCTGGAGTGCAATGAGAATGTGAAACACAAAACCAAGGAGTACATCAAGAAGTACATGCAGAAGTTCGGGGCTGTTTACAAACCTAAAGAGGACACTGAACTAGAGTGACGTCAGGCCAGAGTGGAGTATGAGCAGAAAGGATGAATCCTGTGGCTTTTGCCCTACCCCACAGCCAGGGCTGTGCTACTGATGTGATGACCCACCATCCTGAGCAGTTCAAACTTGCAGGTGTCAACTGTAAGCTGCAAAAGTGAGCTCTGTCTACAAATGACCCCTAGTTGTGAGCTGTTGGTGGAACAGTTACAGGCCATCAGAGGCAGTAGCCTAGGGAAGACCTTGGCCACACTTGACCCCATTCTCAACTTTGAGTCTCCCCCTTGGCGGTGCTGTCAGCGCACAGACCCATGCGCACCCTCCCTGAAGATCCTTTACCCTGATGATATGTATTATATTTTAATGTATATGTGAATATATTGAAAATAATTTGTTTGTTTTTCCTGGTTTTTGTTCAGTTTTTGTTTGCTGTTAGCATTTATGTGCTGGAATCATGGAACGACTTTGTAAGGATAGTATAAATTCTCCTGCAAGGTTTAATTTGTTATCATGTAAATATTCCAAAGCAGGCTGCCTTGTGGTTTTGGCCAGCCTTGTGCTATGTTGATAAGATTGATTTACTGCTTAAGATCACTTTACTTTATCCAATTTTTACTGAACTTTTTATGTAAAAAATAAAATCAATTAAAGAACTTGCAATGTGTGTTCCCTCAAACTTAATCAAGTTTGTTTGTGTTGATGTTACTGGAGAAAGGATGTCGTGGCCCTAGTGTGTAGGGGCCAAGATTGACCTTTCTACTGTATTTTATTATAAGCTTTGTTCTTGAGGCTGAGCTCAGATGAGACAATTTAGTCATTCCAGACCAGAGGATGTTTCTCCTGAGACCTCATTGCCACTGGCTTGTTTTAATTTGGCTGCTGGGTCAATCAAGAGAAAAGCCAAATGTCTTCTCTCTTTGCTGGAGAGTGTTATTGGACCATTCTGCCTTCAGACTTCACTTCTCCCATCCCACAGGAGTGTTCATTCAATGTGTGGGTCCTAACTTCTCACTTTGTTACTTGACACTAAGCCTGGACAAGAGGGAAGACAGCAAAGGACAGCTGTGGAAGGGGTGTGGGTACCAACATATGGTGAGAATGTGTGTGTTTTATCTAGGCTCGGCAGTGGCCTCTTTGGTGATGAGTTTTCAACAGAGAGGAAGTTCATACTAGACTGGGGCCCATCTGTTCCTCACAAATGTGATTCTGCTCTGCAGAACAGGGCTAGGTTGAGGCCTGACAGAAATTAGAGCACCTTCTGCCTGTACTAAGTATCTCAGAGATTAGGGTATATCCTTCCAACTCTTATAGAAATTGGCACTGTAGGTGAGACTTAAGACCAACCAAGCTGGCTCAGCGATTAGAGTTCAATTCCCAGCAACCACATGGTGGCTCACAACCACCTGTAATGGGATCCAGTGCCCTCTTGTGATGTGTCTGAAGATAGCCATAGTGTACTCACACAAATCTTTACCCCCCCCCCCCCAAAAAAAAAAACAACCAAGCTTCACTCATTTACAGTCCTATAATAGAGGGCAGAAATTCTTACTTTATGGTATGTATGCTGGGTAGGGAGTCTTCCCTCACTACCTCTGGGGGTTGGCTACAGGTGTGTGGATAACCGAGTACCTTAAATGAAATGGCATAGTTCTTACCTGTAGCCCCCATTGCACATATCTTGGGTATCTCTGGTTTACTTCAGCCAAATACCGTGCCAGTCCTGTACAAAGCTACTTGATCACCAGTACATGACTATGAACCGTAGACTAATTCTAGTCGTGTTCTACTTTATGACCTTAAAACACATTCTTGTATTAAGTGGACTATAATTCACTCAACCCTCGACAATATCTAGTGCCTGTTGTAGTGAGTGTTCGTGTTTCTCCAAGGATATTGAGGCCATCTCCTGTCACAGAGGTCAAGTTTTAGAAGACAAATGTTTTCATCTTCAACCCATACTCCCTTATGTTTAAATGACCTTAGTGGGGATAGAGTGTGCCAGTTTGTTCATGGAAAATTTTATGCTCATTGCTGACTCAGTCCTTGATGGCCCAGCAGCTGACTGCTGAAGTGGAGTGATGTTCCCAGCTGGTCTGAGCCTTCCCTGGTTTTTCTCATCTTTGGGGATTAGCCTGAGGGTCTTCTTAGGATGGAGGTAACGTCCCTCCCCCTCCCCAACTTTTTTTTTTTTTTTTTTTTTTTTTTTGAGATGGTCTCACTCTGTAGCTCAGTCTGGCATCAAAGCCATGCTGATCTTACCTCAGCCTCCTGAGCACTGGGACTACGGGTATGAGCTACTATGGCTGGCTGCCATTTATTTTAACCAAGACATTGTTACACAGCTCTGGGAAGCTCTTTCCGAGGAGCAACAGAAGCAGCTTACAGTAAGCCTCATACAGAGCAGCAAATCCTAGGAGCTTCTCAGTGCAGTGAGGGAGGGAGTAGGATCTCCCTTGACCTCCATTTCACCAGACCTCATGTCTTCTCAGTGAGTCTGGATGAACCTAAAGTCCTTTCATCCATTGCACTGGTCCCTCCTAGAAGGCAGAATAACCTAGCTACCTGCGCCCACTTCAGGATGGGTGTGTGCATGGAAGTACAGGTGGTTTTGGCTCAACTCCCTGTCCTGAACAGCCTGCTTGGCCACTTGTGTTCAAACCACATGACCAACTGTGGAAGCCTGTGTGGGATTCCTTAGCCTGGATGGCAGTCTGCTCTTTATTTTTTATTTATTTTTTGTAGCCCTGGAAATTAAACCTAGGACCTTGAGTGTGCTATACAAGTGCTCTGCCACTGAGTCCCAGTATTGAAACCTCCATCTTTTTCTTGTCTAAAGATGATCTGACATCTTTAACAACTAGCTCACCACAATTACCTTGCATCTTGCCTGTCACAACACAAGTCACACAAAGGGCCCTTTGCGGCACCATGGGAATCTTAGGGGTAGAGGACTTACTAAACGGGCCTCCACTGAGCAAAGGTGACTGGGGTTCAGGAGGAGACATGACTTCTTAATGTGAGCCAAACACTGAAGGGGCAGGAGGGTGAACACTGGCCTGGACCTCTACAGCCCATGTACAGAAGTGCCCTGCCCCTTTCCATATCCCCAAGTCCTTATCTGGGCCTCTTTCACAGCTACTTGACTGTCTTACAGGTCCAAGGAGCCAACCGAGTAGGCTAGGAAAAAAGTCTAAAGGTGCCTTTAATATGTGATTTTAAAATGAAATAGAAAAAAATGAGCTGGAGCACATAAGAGGCAGATTGAGGATCTGTGGGCAAAGCCATGCCCTACTCTTACCCATCCCCCCATATCTTCCCTTCCTGTCTTGGAGAGGAGGGGGAAGGGACATAAAGTGTCTAGATCTTCTGTGTTGTGCCACAACAGCAGGCTGAAGCCAGAGAAGTAGTTGGAAGCCCATGAAGGACATGAGGCCAGGAGAATGCCCAGAGCTAGGGCAGGCAACACTGGGAGGTGTCACTCATACCACAGAGCAGCCCTCAGCTGGTGGTGAGCTTAAAACTCGGACCACATCTTCTCGGCCTATGGCAGCCAGAGCATCCTCTAGCACTCTGAGGGTAGCCCTACTGCCTTCTTGGGCAGCCCAGTCCCTTAGCAGGGTGTAGGCTGGCACCTGGTCACAGGCCATGGTTTCCACAGCCTCAGCTTGGTAGCCCAGGTGGCCTGCCAGCCCTTGCCAGCCCTTGGCAGGTTCACCCAACATCAAGAGCCGCTGGACTTCCTCCTGCTGCTGCTGCGGAATATGCAGGTAAAGTCGGCAGCCAAGATCTGGATGTGGTCCTGGGGTGGGAGAGAGAAGTGTTAGTGGATGGTGGGATAGCACTAGTTATAGAAAAGACTAAGGAAATGTGCTCACCCTGGCTGGGAATACAAGGCTCCAGACCACGAGGAGAGTCCACGAAGACACTGCTGTCACCATGCCTCTGGTCCCTGTCAGGGTCCCCCAGCTCTACAGTCCGAGCTTTAGCCAACTGTTGCCTTTGCTTATGTGAGCGCCAGCTGTAGGGGGTAGAGGGTACTAAGACAAGGAACTGCCTCAGAGTCCAGGCATGGAGGGGATGCCACAGGACAGTACCCAGACCACCTACCATTTGAAGGCCACGTAGGCAAGCAGACCAAGGACCACAGTAGCTAGGAGAGCACAGTAGACAGGAATGATGTTGCTTGAGGCCCCTGGAGGCTCAGGGGGAAATAGGGAGGAGGTATTGGGGGCTAGGGCTCCCCCAGCTCCTCCCCACATTCCTTCCCTGTTCCCATCCTGCCCCTTCAGGGCTGTATCTGTGAAGACAGACAGTGGTTGAGATAGGGAGTCACGGCAGCCTCACCTAGACAGACCATCTTGGCAGAACATTCCAAAAGCTAACTCAGCATACAGAGTTGGCTGGTCCCGGGGTGTGGCAAGGATGGCTCAGCAGATAGATATGTGCCACCAAGTATGACAACCTGAGTTTGATCCCCTAGGATCCACATGATAGGAGGAGAAAGTCTCTGAACCCCCACATGCTTGCTGAGTGGTTAATGGTGTTTGTTTCACCACAGGACCAGAATTCTGTTCCCAGCACTACTGAGTTCCAGGTGGTGGTGATCCATCCAGTGTGTAGACGGATCGCCACCACCTGGAACTCAATCTCCAGGGGATTTGATGATGACTCTTACAGCCTCTGTGGGCACTCTCACAGACATACGTGCACATATGTACACATAAGTGGTTCCTTGCTTGCCATTGTGGACACAGTCCCTACCAGATGTTCCTTGCCATCTTCCAGAAGCATCCAAACGTCTTGCTATTGTATCTTCTCCTTCTAAACACATGGCAGGATCTCCTCTGGAAGCTTTCTTGATCTCTTTCTTTTCACCCTGGTTGCGCCACCTCTTTATCATGGCACTAGATTGGTTGGCTTCCAGGGTAAAATGAGAACACACTGATGTATGCTGTAGTCACAGGATCATAAAAATAAAACTTAACTGGAAGTAAATACCAGTGCTCTCTTCTGCCTTATCCAGTGACCAATCCTTGTACTCAGTGTAGGTAGGGTTCAAGGGTCAGGGACTAAAGACCCCATGAATAGACTTGTATATGACTCACTCTAACCTCCCAATCTGTCTGCAACCTAGGATCTGGGTCAAGGAATGCCTACCTGAATAGACCACACCTTTGCTGACATTATGAAGCATGGCGCTGCCAGGCACTGCTTGCTGGGCTGTTTTTTGGTGAAGGAGAGTCAAACACAGAACTGAACTGATGGAGCTTGGAGCCTGCTTCTCTGGGTTCTCCTTCTGGAATACTCTGTAGGAATATGAGGAAATCTCAGATCTGCTGTCAGGAGTCCCTGAGGCAGCCTGTCCCAGTTATTAGTTCACTCCATCCTGATTCACATCAGGGCTGGAACAGTTTTTCCCTCTGTGTCAGGTGGAGGTTAACAGCTGCCCCCTGCTAGCCAAAACTGATGCCATAGGGTACAGCTCAGGATAGAAATCACCCATCTATCTCAAAGACCTTCCCAAATACCTGGGCTGAGTCTGGGGACGTTTAAAGGAGGGTAAAGATACATGTGCTGTGACCCCCATCTCAGGCTCCCTAGGAACTAATAATTATACACACCTGCCAAAACCCAGCATCCTAAGGTCCCCAGGCCAGACCTCCTACACTGCCTGTGCTCCCTCTGTTACCTCCAGGGCCAGTGGCCAGCCCTTTCCTGGTCAGGGATTGAGTGAAGTGATACCTTAATGGGCTCACCAAGCTCATAGACCATACAGATCTCAGAAGGCCTGAAATGGAAGAACAGGGCCGACTCAGTCCAAGGACCCATCTGGACCCTAGAGTACTAAATCTGCTGAGGCCACTTCCTGCAGGCTACTGAGGAGAGGCTCCAGATCTGGAAGAAGGAGAGATCTGCCTTGAATAAGAAAGAGACTAAAAGAGGCCCTTCAAGTCCCTAACAGATCTACCCACATGGTGTGTCTGTGGTAGGGCTATCAGCAGTTCGGTACTGTAGTCAGGTAAGCCTCTGGTGTCGGTGGCCCCTTTATGGACTATGTATGTTTGTGTCGCCACACTGAGAGTTGGGGGCTTCTGGGATCCTAGTTGGTGGGTGGGTCTGTAAACCAGTAGCAGCAGACAGGCCTTGGAATCTGCCCCACCCATCCTGAACTGCTGGAGTGGAACTTCTTCAGGGCTCCCCACCCATCTCCAAGCCCAAAATGGGAAGAAACAATTCAACAGCCCCTGCAGGCCCATACACACCCCAAAACAGACGCTGGTACCCGCAGGATCAGAGCACTAAAGGTGGAAGACAGAAAAAGTTTTGGCCCCTTCCACCTAGCAAGAGCCCAGCTAGTCACTCCCACCTCTCCTGACCTTCTGCGGCCACCCCTCCAAGGGTGCCAGGATCCACTCAGCTAGGAAGACGACGGGAGTCCCTGGAGAGGACAGGTTCCGGTCTGCCCAAGAAAGAGTGAGCCAAGGCAAGGGCGGACCAATGGGGGGTGGTGTTTTAGAGGGGAGCAGGACAATGAAGAGGCGGGGCTGAGTTCGAGGGCGCGGTCCCGCCCCCGCCCCACGCCGGAGCACGCAGAAGCGCTCCGCACAGAAGCAGACAGCAGCCTGGTTGGCAGAGCGCGCCAATGGCATGCAAACGCCACGCAATGGACCGCGAGAGCTGAGAACCTGGAGCCAAGAGACGGCTGGCAAAGACAGAGGAGGCTCCAGGTTACACGGAGGCCAGCCTGTCAGGAAGAATATGCCAGGCCAGACCTGGTAACAGAGGCTAAGATTGGTGGCCACTGAAGGCCAAGGACGGCGGGCACATGTATACTCAAGAAACCAAGAGGTTACAAAAGTCGGCCAAGTTTATTGCTGAGAATGGGCAGCGATAGTCACCTTTGGGGATTAAGGCCACGGGTGGTCTTTGTGCTTTACTGGGACGTGGGGTTTGGAAGTAGGGATCCCCACCCACCCCAGATTGTGCAAAATATGCAGCCGCGGCCTCAGAGGCCGACGCCAGGTCTCCCCTCAGCCGGCGAGGGGCGGGACTTCCTGGTGATGCCCTCTACCAATCCCTGAGCTGGAGGGTG